TGAGTGAGTGCTTTCAGTGCTTCTTCAGTGTGCTGGAACATTTCAACTAGTATTCCCATCAATTCCTGTAGCCCTGGCTAACACTTTCAGTGCAGCTTAGCCTTCTTTCAGTACCTCCTGAATTGTCTGCATGTTGACTAGTTCTTTTTGGTACAGTGACGGTGTATATTCTTACCATCTTTTTTGGGATGCTTTCTGCATTTACTGTTCAATATTTTACCCATAGAATCTTTTAATACTCCAACTCGAGGGCTCAGTGTTCTTTCGCTCTTTCAGCTAAAGATATGCTGAGTATTTTCTCCGTTTTGGTTAACTTAAGTTTTTGTACATTTCACCATTGGCTTTTTCCTCTGGCTTCCTTTTGAAATTTTCCATTCAGCTATGACTTCCATCATTTCTTCCACTACCTTTAGCTAAACTACGAATAAAAGCAAGTTTCACTGACATTCATGCTCATCTTTTTTTTCTTTTTCTTTATTTTTAGTATGGATTACAACTTTTTTTTTGTTTACTTTTTTTTAAACATTTTATTAGGGGCTCATACAACTGTTATCCCAATCCATACACACATCAATTGTGTAAAGTGCATTTGTACATCGTTTCTCAAAACATTTTCTCTCCACTTAAACCCCCGACATTAGGTCCTCATTTTTCCCCTCCCTCCCCGATCTTTTCTTTCTTTCCTGTCTTTTTAAGGCCTTTTTGTTTTCTTCATGAATGTTATTTTTAATTTTAATAAATCATTTTAGTGGGGGCGCTTTTACATATCATTACAATCCATACATCCAGTATATTAAGCGGACAAGTACAAATGATGCCAGCAACAATTTCAAAACATTACCTTACTTCTTGAGCCCTGTAATTAGCTCTTTATTCCCTCCCTCGCTCATTCTGCTACCCTCACGAGCCCTTAATATATTATGTATTGTTAATATTATTTATACATATCTTATACCGCCTATTTTATTCCTACATCTACTATCCTGGTGTTCATATGCCTCAAGGGGGATTATTCCGCCATCACTGCTATCCAACCCCACACTTCACTTCCCCTACTCTCCTGGTATTGATACCATTATAGTTCCTGAGGGGTTTGTCTATCCTGAATTCTGTATATTGAAAGTTCTCATGTGTACTGATGTATGTATACCAGTGTAGCAGAATGAATATTATTGTTGATGTCCTTCCACGACTCATCAGGTCTTCTGTTATTAGTGATCAATGCAACAAATCTGTTCTTGATATATTTTTGAAATTCAGATGGGATAGACTCAAGGTTGTATTTTGCCTCTTCTGGACTTGTTTGAATTTTCTACAGCTTTAATTTCAACTTACATATGAGCAACTGATAGTCCTGACCTTGTTTTAGCTACCGATGTGGAACTTCTCCATCGACTTTCCCCACAGATACAGCCAATTCATTGTCTGTGTATTCTATCTAGAGAAGTCCACCTGCATGGGGCCTTGTGTTGTTGAAAAAAGTTATTTGCCACGAACAAGTTGTTGTTATAAAATTCTAACATGCAATCTTCAGTTTGAATTAGAAAAGTCATATTAAGAATATTTTATTCCACCAGTTTTATCAGGAATAGGTGTTGGCTTTTGTTAAATGCCTTTTCTGCATCAACTGATAAAATCATGTTTTCTTTGTATAAGTTTTATTTATGGGTGGATTAAACGGATTGTTTTCCTAATGCTGACAATCCTTGTATATCTTGGTTAAGACGTATTACATTGTTGTTAGGTGCTGTTGGGTTGTTTTTCACTATGAACAGAATAAAACATCAACTGATCCTGCACCATCCTCACAATTGTTTTTATGTGTGAACCCATTGTTGCAGCCGTGTGTCAATCCAATTTGTCGAAGGTCTTCCTTTTTTTTGCTACTCTTCTATTTTATTGAGCATGCCGTCTCTCTCCAGGAGCTGATCTCTCTTGATAACATGGCCAAAGTACATAAGATGATGTCTGACCATTCTGGCTTCTAGATTTTTTGTGGTTTTTCCTTTGGCAGTCCGTGGTTCTTTCAATATTCTTCACTAGCACCATAATTGAAATTAATCAACTCTTCCTTGGTCTTCTTTATTCAACAATGTTTGTGGTTTTTCCTTTGGCAGTCCGTGGTTCTTTCAATATTCTTCACTAGCACCATAATTGAAATTAATCAACTCTTCCTTGGTCTTCTTTATTCAACAATGTCTAACTTTCACATGCATATGTGGCAATTGAAAGCACCATGGCTTAGGTCTCAAGTAATAGTCTCGCTTTTCAACACTTTAAACAGGTCTTGTGCAGATTTAGCCAATGCAATTTGTCACTTGATCTCCTGTCTGCTGCTTCCATGAGCAAGGATTGTGGATCCAAGCAAGAACAAAATCCTTGAGAACTTCAGTGTTTTGTTGGTCATGATGATACCAACTAATCCAATTGTGAGGATTTTTGTAATCCATTCTGAAGACTGAAATCCTTGATCTTCATCAACAAGTTTTCAAGTTCTCCTTCATAGTCTGGAAGTTCTGTAGTAATTTATTCATTTTGGGTGACTCTGCTGGTATTTGAAAGAATAGTAACATAGCTTCCAGCATCAGAGCAACACACAAATCACCACAGTATGGCAAACTGACAGACGGTGGTGGTGGACACTGTTTCCCAAATTTATTTTGCAATGTTGATTTTGTCTGGTTTTGGTATGCCTGTTATGACTGCTTCATAGAATAAATTCCAGAGTACTTCATCCTTTTCTATTCTCTGGAATAGTTTGAGATGAATTAAGAGTCAGTTACCTAAATGTTTGGTAGATTTTACCAGTGAAGGCATCTGGACCTGGACTTTTTTGTTGGAAGATTTTTTTATGACGTGTTCTAATTATTTTGTTATGGGTGTGCTCTATTGTTTGCCAGCACCATAATTCAATTCAGTTGGATTATTTTCCAGGATTCCTTATTCACTGTACAACTTTCACATGCATATGTGGAGACTGAAAATACCCAACTTGGGTAAGAGGTGTACCTTAGTCTTCAGAGTGACATCCTTGTTCTTCACACTTTCAGTTTTTGTGCAGCACATTTACTCAATGGTTTGATTTTTTGACTGCTTAGTCACACAGAATCAGCTCTTACAGAATCAGAAGTTGAAACTAGGTCTCACTTACAGCCATAATTTTATAGCATTCTCAGGTAGCATTAATATAACTACTGTTTTATGTAACTAAGTTATGTTTTTGAAATGGTAACAAGGTCCTTCAACCATAATGGTTGATGTGATGTATTACAAATACTTCCCTCTATACCTGTGGCTATAATCTCCTTTTGGAAGGGGCTCTCTGCTATGCTAACAATTAGGATTAAGGTGGAATTAAGTCTCCACCTTGGTAGGGTGTGTGAGCCAAGTCACCACACTTTGCTTTCTTGGGGATATGGTTTGCTGGAAGACAAAAACCACATTTTTATCAAAGGCATTCCTCTGTATATAAGAGCCATCTCAGGAGCAGGAACGAGAAATTTCAGGTCCATCAGAACAAGAGCCACCAATGAAGCCTGTCCAAGGTCTGTCCAAAGTGTGGAGGCTGAGGCCAGGAGCACCAGAGGCAGCACCGAGACCATGGGGCAAAACAGAGGAGCCAGAGTCCAAAGCAAGGAGACCATGGCACAGAACAGAGGAGCAGCAGTGAAACCATGAGAATGTAAGGCAAAGGACAAGGGAGCATGTGCCTGGAAGAAAAAAAAGATTTGGCTGAGGAGGGGGATATGGCTCTTGAGCAATGATTGAATCCTCATGTGGTAACCTGTTTTTCTAATAAAACCCCTTACTCAGGAGTGTTGCCTGTGAGTTCTGTGTGGCCATTCCAACTGGTTGTTGGACCCAGCACATAAACAGAGCACAGGGAGAGGAATGCCTGGTATCAGAATAGGTAAAGAATGGAGGTTGAAAGCATATCTGATCTCTGCCTTGTGGCAATAGGGAAGCCAGAGGAGGTTGAATATGGTTCCCCTTCAGCACTGTTTTCCTAGCTCCTTACTGTTGTTGTTTTTGTTTTTTTTAATTGAAACATTGTAAATTATAGGTATAGGTAACATACTTACAAAGGAAAATTAAGCAATTATTATACTAAAGTTTGGATACTTTTGGTGTGACAGAGAGGGGCACAATACTTATAATTAATTAAATACTTTAAAGAATTTACAGATTTTTAATAGACTTTAAAGTATTTACAGATTTTTGCATATAAATGGAGTACATGTAAATATCTACCTGAAATATGATACAAGAGCAAATTTTACAACAAAATAAAATCCGTCGTAGACATGGATATTTTTACTTTGATAAATCATAATACCCTCTTTGATCAGCCCAATCTTAAAAAAAAAAATCTCCTCTCTAGTCTTTATTTAGTTCACTCTACCATAAATTAAATGTCATCATAAGACAAATAACAATAGTGAGATCAAAGTTTGGCATTTACAAAATTCTCTATATAGTTTTACTTTCTGCTGCTATATGATGGGACTTCAAAAATTTCGCAGAAAAAAAAGTTATAAGGCAAATTTTAAAATTTTAGCTAAACTCACTGCTATCGAAGTATTCTGACTCACAGTGACCCTAAGGACAGAGTAGAGATGCACCATTGTTTATTTCTGAGGCTCATTACAGGAGCAAATGTTTGAATCTACCAGGGGCAGTGTGGAAGAAAGATGAGGCTTTCTGCTCCTGTAATGATTTGCAGCCTCAGAAACCCAATGGGACATCTCTACTCTACCCATAGGGTTGCTGTGAGTCAGAATTGATTTGATGCCACCAAGTTTAGTTTAGTGCTTTGTTTTACTATCTATAAATAACAAAAATATCTCTATACCTCCATCAATAGCAAATTTTATTTCATGTAAAAGAAGAATCAATAAAATTCTAGTTTCTTTTACAAACAGTATTTTTATTATGTGACTGAATTACCATTATAAAAACTAAAGATAAATACTTTTATGCAAGAAGTATGATATATTTACCTTGAAGTCCATTAAGGATAGAAGTAATTTCTATGGATTTAATATGAGCTGTATCAGAGATTTTGGCATCAGCAAGATCCAGTTTGGATACCATTTCAGGTGATGGATTTGTCTGAAATGGTGGTTTTGACAAACGCCGAAGTTTACAGTTTTTGGGAGAGTATTTTTCATCTTTGTCTAATTTATTCTAGGTTAAGAAGAAAAATTATGTCACATTAGTTGTAATTAGCAATATTCATTTATTATTAACAAAGTTATAAAATACCAAATTTTTAACATTAAAAACAGCCAATATACAAGGTGAGCAAAAAATTATTTATATTAATATGTATTAAAATAGCGAGACTTAAATTTGCAATCAGATAGGCTAACAGCTAATAACTGGCACTACAAAGTTTTCAAGATTAAATCAGTGTGTTTACATTAATATCTTTTTAAAAACAAACACCAATTTCAAACATTTGTAATGTTCTTATAAAAAAAGATAAGTTGGAGAAGAAAATATTCCAAACACCCCCATAAATCCTAATTCTAAATAAATGCTATACTGTCATCCAATTAAGGGTAACCTTCCTATCTGACAGATACAATGAATTTTCTCAAGTTCTCGTTTCCAAATCAATGAGCAGAGAGGCTATTTATTTATTTTTAGCTAATATTTTTTTGAAACCATAAAAATTGAAAAGGGAAAAAAATAACTTCAGGCAGGCTCTCAGAAACGTAGCATAACAAATTCCAAAGTTTTGTTATATAGTCAGACTATTTAGAGAATGTGATAAACTATTTTCACAATTCTCTCAAGAACGATAAATGGCAACTACCATTCTGGTTAACATAGGATTGAACTTTTATATAATGGTTGCTCAGGCGCTGAAAGTGTGGTCTTTGGACTAGCAACATCTTCTGGTAACCTTTCATATATGCAGATTCTTAGAAGGACCCTCAAACCATGGAATCACAAACTGGAAATGAGGCCTGCAGAGTTGGAGTGGACTCGATGAAATGGGTTCAGATGTTTTTTGCTTTTTTGGTGGGGATAAGCATACAGATGGTAGAAAGTCTACAGTAGCTCAAATATGGATTTCATGACCTGTTGGCAGGACAATCTCTTAAACATTGATTCTTAAGGTACGCTGAGACTAAATGTGCTATATCAGAAAATTATTTTTAAAACGTTTTCAAAATGTATATTTTGAAATTTATAAGGACCAGAAAGTAAATATTGATTAAAATACTTTCAAAAGTACTGCTTAAAAACTTGCTTTATTAAAACACTGGCTTTCTCAGTGCTACAAGATGCTCTTTCTATGACAACAACACAGTTAAATACAGCATGATTCATGTTTTCAAGTAAAAGCAGAGCGTTAACATAAAAAGAAGTCTGAGAAGACATAAGATGTAGTTACTAGATTGCTATATTGAAAATTTTAAATCACGGGCCCAACTTGATAGTGGAATAAGAAAAACCACATTAGAAGACAGTTTTCTTTATTTAGGGCACTCCTTACTTTAAATATAAAGATTAGCTCACAGAAGAAATGTATGTACTTCAACTATATCCATTATTCAAACTAGTAAAGAGAAAACAAATTTTAAATCCTATTTAGTGGTCTACTTTCTCCACAAATATTCAAAAAAAAATAGTCTCAAAGAGTATTTCAGTTATATATCAAATGACCATTAATTTTCCACACGAACTCATTAATACATCCCTATTGCATCTACTACGGATTGTGGTTAATAGGTCACCTAAACATAGTCTAGACACTCTCCTAAAGTCAGTGGGAAAAAATTTAAAAAACAAGATGTCAGACAGAGTCTTATCTGCCTTCAAACCTTTTATTTTATACCTCTGAATACTTTATTGCTGTTCTAATGTGTCTTGTATTCACATTGTTTTACAGCTCCTACCAGTAATTGGGAAGTAGAGGGCATGGAAGACGTTAAATGGGCAAGTAAAAGCTGGGTGGCCTTAATATATTGGGACTGAAAAACCTTTTTTCCAAATTGTCTTTCTATAAATTGACAAAATTAATTATACTGAAATTTGTTCTTGCTAGGTGCGCTGTTGAGTTGTTTCCAACTCATAGCAACCTTATGTACAACAGCATGAAGCAATGCTTGGTCCGGTGCCATCCTCATGATTGTGATTAGACAGTCATCAGTTCACAAGCATGCTTCTATAACACTAAGGCATGCATATATAATTGTATCCAAAAAAGTTAACTAAGCGCTATGACATGCAGAAAAATAAGCACTTACCTTTATTTTCTTCCGGTGTTTTATTTTTGGTACATTTTTATCTGCAGGTCTCACTATTTTATCTGCTTTAATCCATTCATCGTATCTAAAATTAACAGAAACTAATATAAATATACAGAACACATAATATAAAGGTAAATATAACTCATTAAAGAAAACTTCAGAAAGGACCTTAGAGAGCTAGTGCTACTTTCTTGTATAAGTAAAATTACCAAGATCCAGAGAGAGATCTAGTCACTTGCCCAAAGGCATAATGTTAAGTCACTTACTGCCATTGAGTTGATTTTGACTCAGGGCGACTCTACAAGGACAGAGTAGACCTGTCCCTGTGGATTTCCAAGACTGGAAATGTTGAAGAGTCGACAGCCTAGTCGAATTCTTCCTTAAACCACACTGGGGTTTTCAAACTGGTGACACTGTGATTAGATAACTATGGATTAAATCAAGCCTGAAAGTAAGACCTCTTTGACTCCAACAGTAACACACCTTTTTTCCTGCTATGCCAAAGATAAATCCAATCTGTACATTTTAAGAGAAAGAAAATATTTTTTATATTTGAAAAATTTGCTTGATTTTTAAACAGCAGGCTGGTAATTTTTCTCTAGACACAGCAGGAAATTAAGGTAACATGGTATACTTCAAAATGGCATATGTGATAGAAAAGCCTTATTTTCTTCTGATTTATGGACAATACAAGATTACCTAGAAAAAACTACACACACACACACACACACACACACACACACACACACACACACACAGAGGATGGGCCTGCACACGTCTTCCTCCTGCCATTGAGTCCATTTCAACTCATAGTAAACCTGTATTAAAGAGTCTAACCTAAGGATTTCTTGGCTGTAATCTTTATGGAAGCAGACTGGTAGGTTTTTCTTACTGTGTTGTTGGGAAATTGAACGTATGTATAACACTCTTAAGTTTTGAGTTGCTATTTGAGCATAAACAGCTTGTGCTACCCAGGGACCTTCTCGGTATAATGAGGGGCTTCCATTCACTATTAATAGTCTAATTCATCTGAGGCAGGTTAGTACTGACTGCAATAAAGCAATCTGAATGAATCAAAAAAGCAACAAGTTTATCTTTGTTTATAAAAATCTATAAAAACACTTAAAAGGAATTAACACACAGGAATCCAGGGCAGATAAACGCCCCAGGACCAATATTGAGAGTAGTGATACCAGGAGGAGAAGGGGAAGGTGGGAGGAGCAAGGGGGAATCGATCACAATGATCTACATATAACCCCCCTCCCAGGGGGACGGACAACAGAAAAGTGGGTGAAGGGAAATGTCGGTCAGTGAAAGACAGAAAAAATAATTTATAAATTATCAATGGTTTGTGAGGGAAGGAAAGTTGGGGAAGGAAGGTGGAAAAAAATGAGGAGCTGACACCAAGGGCTCTAGAAACAAAATGTTTTGAAAATGATGATGGCAACAAAATGTACAATTCTGCTTCACACAATGGATGGATATATGGATTGTGATAAGAGTTGTATGAGCCCCCAATAAATGATGAAAATAATAAATTACAATTTATCAAGGGGTCATGAGGGGGTTGTGGGAGGGAGGGAAAAAAGAAGAGCTGAAATCAAAGGCAAATAGAAAGCAAATGTGTAGAAAATAATGATGGCAACATATTTACAATATGCTTGATACAAATGATGTATGGAATGTTGTAAGAGTTCTAAGAGGCCCAAGTAAAATGATCTTAAAAAGAAACAACTGAAACAGTAACTATGTGTTAAATTGTTACTTATTTGTCGAAAAAATGTAAAACTCATGGAATTTAAAAAATTAAGACATGAGTATCTGAAAATGAGCTTGTAAGCAAAAATGTCTACATTATTAGAATATTAAATGAGATATAATTTCTAGCAGCTCTAGAAATTAGCTGTAGCAACTTTTGGCTAGAGTTATGTTAGAGCAAACTTTTAGCTGCAAAAAGCTGAGTACTCCCTTAAACATGGGGTTGTGTGTGTGCTGGAAATTGTGAAGAGAATGGAGAAAGATAGGGTATGAGACCCAGAAAAGTTTTGACATAATCCCACTTCATTAATTATGTGGCCCTGGCCCAGCTATTCTCATCAGGCTTAGTTTATTTCTGTATAAAGTAAAACCAACTGTATAAGGTTTTCTAAGGATCAAATAAATAAGCACTTTGAAAAGCTTTAAAGCAAGTAATACTTCCTCTATTAAATATAATCCTTTTAGAGTTTATACTGGGGCACAGCAGTACCTACCTGTATTTTTAGAGCACATTTACCTTCCTCATTAATACCAAAAATTACACTAAGCTTAAGAAGAAGGCAGTCCAATTCCTACCAAAATTGGCAGGGGTGGGGTGGGGTGGGGGTGGGTTTGCACAGTAGAGAACAAACAAAACTATCTTCACTCTGTAAGATTCAATGTGTGAATCTTGCTACAGTAAGTACCATATATACTCAAGTATATGCTGACCCAAAATATCAGTCGAGGCACTTAATTTTACCACAAAAGCTGCATAAAAATGTGCTGAAACACTCAGCTTATATATGATTATATATGGGGTAGTTACTCTAGTATGTTTGAAAAGTGTGTTAGATAAGAGAGTATGCATATAAGGGAAATTTTTTTAAGAAGTAAAAGTTCTAAAATATTCAAAAAGTAGTAATATAAGCACTATACTCTGCCTTTACATCATAGGATCCTAAGTTTATTTGGCCTACCACCCCCATTTTAGAAAAAAAAATCATTCTCTCCTGTAATTAAAAACGTTTGTGCTATAACACATAAACCATGATGAAGTGTAGGTATCTGCCTGTGGAGCTCCCCCTGGATTATTCCCATATTAGGTATTGCTTTACATTCTACATATCAATCATGCTTTAAAATTCTTACTGAACATTCTATATGGGTTTATAAAATTCCTTAGAATATTCCTTGGTATATTTCCTGTTGGAAATAATTATGTGGTAACTAATAGCTCTATAAAAATGGTATTTTATCATCTGCCTTCTTTCCTTTCTATATTCTGTATGCCATTTTTGTTATTTTTATTCAAGCATTCCATTTTTCCAGTAGTTGAATTTTCATTTTCCTTTCTTAACTAAACTACTTCCTATTGTTATTATAATTATTAGCCTTTAGAATTGGAAAATAACTTAAAAATCTACCAGTGAATGAATTTCACAGATTAAGAAACTCAAGCCACCGAGTAAATTGACCTTCTAAGAAATAACTAGCCAAAAAGCAGTATGTGGGAGGAAAATGAAGAAAGGCTCATGTTTCAACAGCATAATATTACAATGATTGCCAGGACCAACGTTGAGTTAGCATAGGGAAATGTAACACACTAGGACTGAAAAAGCCTCACTAAAAATGCATGGTTTAAATGTAGGACGAGGAAGGTGAAAATGCATGTGAATTTTGGTGGAGGGAGTTTTCACACAATATAAATGGCATTGTGGGTAAAGTGTTGGGCTATTAAACCAAGAGGTTTGGAGTTGGAAACCAGGGGCCACTCCCTGGCAGAAAACTTACAGCTTCAAAAAACCCATGGAACAGTTCTACTAGGTCCAATAGGTTTGCTATGAATCAGAAATGTTCTTTCCCTTTATGTAACTACTCACTAGAATTATGAAAGTGTTCTATTTTAAGAAAATTTACATATGGAAAGTTGTTTAAGAAATAACGAGACTAATTTAATTGACATTATTATTGCAACTTAATTTAAATGAAATAAGCAACAAGTTTACGATATTAGGTTTCCTATTAAGTACCAAATTAATTTTTTAAAATTATTTTTCAAAGTCATTCTTATCTTTTATTTATTTTAATTGTTTTACTAGGGGCTCATACAACTCTTATCACAATCCTTACATACATCAATTGCGTAAAGCACATTTGTACATTAATTACCAAATTTAAATGAAGGGAATTTAGTTGAGAAGTACCAGACAAAGCTGCAATTGATCCTGCTGAGTTTGCTTGTTGACTTTTTATACAGTATGTTTAATATATAGTAAAAAGAGACTTCAGAGACTACAGTACATTTACTTTAAGCAAAATAAATAGGATACTAGTTAATGTAGATAGAAAACAGGAATGAAAATTTAACCTCAAATACACATATTCTGAATATCAAAACAAAAACAGGGAAGTGGCAATGAGTAGAAAACCATAGTTTAAAAAAAGATCATAAATAGCTCTCAATTAATTTGTGCTGTGGTAACAAAAATAGTGAGTTTCTCATCCAGTGATTCACTCAAAATGCATTCTTTGAGAAGGTAAAAGACATGTTTTGGGAGCCCTGGTGGTGTAGTGGGTTATGCGTTAGGTTGCTATCCACAAGGTCAGTAGTTCTAATCTACCAATTGCTTTCTGGGGGAGAGAGAAGGCTTTATGTTTCCATAAAGATTGCCTCGGATACCAAAGGAGCTGTTCTACTCTGTCCTTCAGGGTTGCTAAGAGTTGGAATTGCCTTGGTGGTAGGGAGTGGGTAATCCTTTCCTCAGTCATCTCGAAATACCCAGTACTCTGGTCCCTCCTTCATCCCTGTAAAGCAGTGGTTCTCAACCTTCCAATTCCACGACCCTTTAACATAGTTCCTCATGTTGCAGTGACCCCCAACCACAATTATTTTCGTTGCTACTTCATAACTGTTATTTTGCTACCGTTATGACCCCCAAAGGGGTCGCGACCTACAGGTTCAGAACAGCTGCTTTAGAAGGACTCAAATTTTATTAGTTGCTTTCCTGCATATGAAGGATACTACCTAACTAGGGAGGGCAACAAGTCTACTAAACTGCCTTTCATTGAGCTTTACCTCATGAGAGATTCTGATTAGAAGAAAGTAACTGGACTCTTCAAAACGAAAGGAAACATTGTCAATGCACAAAGGAAAGATTTTCTAAATTCTACAATTTAAAATCATATTATTCAGTTCTGAGTTAAAAAGCAAAGTTGGTTAGTGATTCACTCATGCTTTCTCAACTCAGTTATCAACAAGTGTTTTCTAATTAGTGCATGCTACAGAGGATTGAGAGAATTCTAGTGGCACATTGGTTAAGCTCTGGGCTGCTCCATGGGAAA